CAAGGAAGGAAAGGGCTTCTCAAGCACATGCTAGGATTGGAGAAGGGCTTGAGAATGTGGCCGCAACTGACACTTGGTGCCTCACACACAGGGGGAGCTTGCCTGTCAATGGCGATGCTGCCTGCCCGCTCTAGCACCCAGGTCACGTGATAAAAGGCAAAAGTGTATGGCCAGCTGTGAAGTCTATATAGGGCAATCACTGACACTTCCAAGCTGTCAGGTACATAGCTGATACCTTGATTTCATCTTTTTATACAAACATACAAAAACCTTCAGATTTCATGAGGGAAAATATGTATTCCCTCATGGTTAGCAAGTGAAAATAAACCGTTTTCTAGCTCAGGGAGGAAAAGAACAGAAATACTCACTCCAATAAGCCATTCAGGTCACCTTTGGGGGACGAGGGGAGGCTGCTATGAGACTTAGCACCGCCTCACTTGCCCCTCATTTTCTCTCCTCCCAAATGATATGTTTATGTCCCTGTCCCTTTCCTCTTCTTGTCTCTTATTTCTTTACCTCTGTCTCCTTATCTCTGTTTGCCCCCTTCCTGACTTGTGACTTGTCTAATCACCTTACCTAGAATTTACCTGTCTGAATATAATTTACCTGTCTGAACTACCTGCGTCCACAACTTGCCTAGCCTGCTACCTCCCTGAATTGTCTTTCAACTACTAGTCACCTATGCAACCCTTCACTCATCTAGCCTGACTCCTGCTTAACCTGTGCTGTTACCTGCTGTTCTCCCTCTCTCCACCGTCACCACCCAGGTCTCTTCCTGGAGTTCAATGTGTTTATATTATTATTCGAATGATCGCCACATAGTGTTGCCAAAATTCAGAGAAAGCACTGTCCTTTCATTTTAACAGGAAGGGAAGTTGAGACACAGAGTGGTTACCCAGATTTCCCAAGCTCCTATAGGCCTATAAGACCAGGTATCTGAGTCCAGCTTTGAAAATCTGCTGTCTCGTCTTGATTTTGTGCCATTAGCTAGAAAGCTAGTGCTTGAGTAAGACGGGATTGAGAAGTCAATAAACAGACACTGGGTGAACATGCCCTGAGTTTAATATAAAGTTCAGGTTCTTACAAGCAAGATAATATTGCTGGGGATAAAGTAGCATAGGTAGGGTGGTGTTCCACAGAAATTCATTTTTCAGCTCTCTGAAACATACCTCTTCCAATAACAAAATGTAATTGGTTTAAAATATTTTGAAGGGGGGCACGTCTAACACACTTTACACACTACCCTGTCTTATTAAACAGAGGACATGGGAGCCTAAGGAGACCATTTATTAGTGATGCAAAGAAACTCGGATGAACTTCTGTTACTGGGGTGGGCTGTAGCTCAGGGGTGCTTCCGGGAGCTCCCAAGCCTGTCGGGCTTAGTTCGTCCTTTCAAGGCCCTCACTCTGTGCCACTTCTCCAGGCAATGTTTCTTGTCTTCTCCCTGTTGTTTATTAGCTGCCATTGTAGAAGTCCTGACTCCCTGCTTCTAACCTGCTTACTGCGTATACAGGAAAACTAAAGCGGTCCATAGAAAACCATATAACAGCTTGCTAGATCAAGAACACTGACCAGATAGATACCGGAGTATGGGCTGATCATCTCACACAGGATAGAATGTGTAGGGTTTGTGACATCTGTTTTGGTGCTGCTCTGAAGCTTTGACTCATCACTTCTGGTTTCAGGTTTTTGTTCTAGTCGTTAAAATTGTCAAAGCCTGACCAACACGTCAATGTGCACTAGAAGGGACCAGTGATTGGGAGCTATGCCTTGGAAAACCACTAAAGACCTTCACACTCTGGCTGAAGGAAACAGACCAGGGGATGGCGGCAAACAGATGTGTGATGTAAATCCTTGGACTATCTGAGAGCTTCGACAGCTTAGATTAGGTGGACTGGTTAACAGTATAGTAGATCTTGAAACAACTGAGTCAGGTCGCAGAGGATGGAACTAACTAACTTTTTCAGTGAGTGGTTTCCCAGTTTGGCTTTTAATGAAGAAATAGTTGCTCTTGGTGGCAGGTGAGCTCCTCCAGAGCAAGTGGAAAGCCCTTGGATGAATTAGGGCCACTGCTGCGGATGCAACAATGCTGATTTGTGCTGACTGACCAAAGTCAAAGGAGAAAAAGTTCACGGGAGGTGAAGAGAGAACTGAGCGGTGCCCAGTGCCCTGATGATCCCGGAAAGACAGAAAAAGCAAAGAGGGTCCCAGAGTCTGAGATGGAAGAAAGAGGAAAGGAATAAGTAGATTCCAGTAAATCTGAACTGAAAGCCAGAATAAGTGGAACCCTCAAAACACTTGAAGCCTTGGAGACTCAAGTAGACAGAGGAATTTTGGTTGGGCCAGAGAAAGGAAATTTAAGGACCGGAAGCCAAGACCTATTTTCTCATGGATCAGGAGACCTAGACAAAGAGCTCGGGTTTGGTCTGTGGACCATATCAGGCTAGAACAGGCTTCTTAAGGGAGCTGAAGTCAGGGAACCAGACCTGGGGAGCGTTTGGCTTGATTCCTGAGTGGGGCAGAGTGGATCTCTGTATTGTTCTACATGTGCTAACACAGACTGTGCCCTAACAGAGCCTCATGAGGCGCTGTGTTCAGGAACATTCTAAGCAAAAGCTGCTGCCAGGGCTGGGCAACAAGGAAAAGATCATTCCTGAGATTGAGAGCCCATGATCTGGTCCATAGCAGTGGATCTGGGAACTATGAAGGCAGGATGCCTAGCATTTCCACATTTATGCTGGGGTTTAGAGCATGACTTCAAGCAAGCCATTACCCATTTCTGTGCTTTAATTCCTTCCTTACAGGTTAATGTAAATCTCACTGAGTCGTACAAATCAAATTTAGAGCTCCGGTATCAAAGTGCTTCAATAATGGTAATAAATGCTATTTGTGTGAGTCATAATCCTTCATGCTGCATCACTCTCAATAATCTGGCCCACAGGAATGCCTGCTGTTTCAGTAACATTTACTGAAAATATATCCCAGACTCCTCTCAAGCCACAAACAGCATTCTGGTGGCCTCCAAGTCCTCTGTGAAAGATCCACGGCCACATTACGAGCAGAGGAAAGATCCCTCTTGCAGGCGAGCTGGGGCTCAGAGGGGGCTCTCTGTGATGCCTCAGCCTTGACTCCATGAGAGCTTCAAGTAAAGGGCTGGGTGTATTTTTCAGCAGTAGTCTAGTTCAGAAGTATGAAACAATGCCATCAAATGTCTTCCAGTTTCACTTGGGAGGTAAGAGGGCTCCTTTGTAGAGTTGTAACCATGGTCTTTCTTCAGAGTGGCTAAATCAAGATTAGGAAGCTTAGGCAACAGTTAGAGTCAGACAAATGTCAAAATTCATTCAAAAGCATCCTGCTGGGTGCAGGGAAGGTAGTGGGATAAGATGCTCCTGAGACTGTGGTGCTCAAGCCACTAGAAAACCCATTCTAGAGCTTTCACATCTCATTTTCAGCAGCAATCTGCTTTCACCAGCAGCTCATTTGGTATCAGCTCCTAGGCACAGTGGCTCTGCTGTAACAGAAATCTTCCTTGTGGTGATAAAAAGTCAGTGAGGTAGGTGCTCAGAGCATGAACGAGTCCCTAAGGGACACGCGGAGAGGTGCCTGGTACCACAGGTTCCTCTGATCTGTGACCTTCAGATAGACTTTTCTGACTCTTCTGGCACTCAGGCCAGTACAGGCTGAGGAGTGGGCTGAAGGCTAAAACACCTTTACCAGATCAAGACAAAAAAGACCAAACTAGGCTGGCTCCTGAGACCTCTCCCCAGCAAGGCCTCAGGCTACGTCAGAGATTGTAAAGACAGGAAAATCCAGCAGGTTAATGGCCAAATGGGTCCTACCACTCCCACCGCAGTGCACAAGAAAGGTGATCTAACCTAGTCATTGAACACAGGGTTGAGTCAGGAGCCTGTGCTCTGGGCTTAACATTTCCAATAATCAACTGGATAACCCTTAGAATGGTCACTTAACCTCTGTGTCTCAGTTTCCACACCTTTCGAAGGGGCATAAGAAAGTGGCTTCCTCATAGTATTTCTAGGATAAATAAAGAGATAAAATGGAATAATCCATGCAAAAACCTATGGAAAAAAAGTCAGAAATGCTATATAAAATATCATTCAGTGAGAAGATACTCAAAATGTTATTTGGTATCTTCAAGCTTCACACCCTCCACTCTGCATAATCCCAGGCTCAAGGTATTGAATTCCTTCAAAAAGGAAGCCCTTTTTTCTTATTTCAGTAGCTTTGTTGTATAACTAGTATCTCTCTCAATCAAGTAGATGCAAAGGGTCCTCTGGGCCAGGAGGACAACCTTGAGGTTGCTTTTTCTAGGAGTCCAAGCCATGAAGAAGCCTATGGAATTGAAAAATTCCAGGCTACCTGTCCTCCAAACCTCTGCATAAGCCCAGGTTAACAGGTGCCAGGGCAGCTCAATCAGAGAAGTTAGAGTTCCTAGGACTTTCGCTAACCCCAATACCAACCTGAAGCCACACAGGAGGACAGCAGCCCCCTGCTGCTCAGAGCGCCCTGTGGGCCACCCACCCAGGCTGCACACACACCATGCTTGCGCGTGGCTCACCTTCTTTCCTCTGTCCTGTGTTTAGGAACAGAACCGAGACCTGTTTAACAAGCAGGGCCTTTTCTGCATGGCTTCCGCTACCACTTGAGCCCTGGCAATTCCCGTGCTTCCTTCTCAACTACTGACATCGCAGCCAGACGCCTCCTGGTCATCTCCTAACGCAGCTTCCACAGGACAACATCAACAATTCAAACCTTAGCTTTTTCCTACTCCCAGATATGCCTTCTTCCCGTGCTCCCATGTCAGCGAATGGGACCAAAACAGACCTGGGTGCCAAACCAAAAGACTTTCTCCCCATCATTTCCCATTGCCCATCAGACTCTGAGTCCAAAAGCTCCTGTGATCTGACTCCTTGAAGTCCTTGCTTCATCTGTATTCCCACTGTTTCTGATTTCCTTTAACCTCTCCTAGTTCTCCTTTGTTCTATTGGGTTGTCGGAAAAGTCATGACGTATTTCTTCTATGTTTTTCATTGCAAAAATGCTCGTGACTTTTCTGACAGCCCCATATTTTGGTCTCCCTACTACAGCTAACATGAGCGTTCTAAAATTTAATTCAAACCAGGTCCCTCCTTGCTAGAAATGCTTCATTTACTCCTCACAGCCCACAAGACTGAATGCCAATTCCCCAGCATAATTTACAAGGCCTCTAACCCCTGTGGTTTCACTCCCATTCGGCAGAACAGCTCAGGTTCCCACCAGGCCAAATTATCGGAAACCCCCTAAGTGCCCCTAAGGCACTTCTGGAGCTTCCTACTTGCTTTCCATTTGACTAGTCATTCTAGCTCCCACCCCACCCCCACCCCCTTCACTCGCCTAACGCCTAATTTCTCATCCTTCAAATCTCAGCTTAAAATCAAGTCCTCTAGGAAGTCTTCTGTGAAGAGCTCCTCCTCCAGGGTTAGGTGTCCCTTCTATATACCCCAAGGACTATCACAGCACTTCATCACACTTTATCGTTGTTGCTTGTTTAACTGTCTCTCCCTCCAGATTGTAAGCTCCCGTGTGAGACTATCTTACTCACCAATGTGTGCCTGACACCTAGCAAAATATTTGGCACAAAGTAGGAGATTAATATATATTTTTTTGAATATTGAGTGAATAAATAAACGTTTGGAGTATTGGAATTTAAGGACCCAGTATTAAAACCCTAAGGAGACACAAAGCGCCTATTTACAACATCTTTATGGTCCTCTAGGTCAAAGCATTTTCAACAGATAGAACAGGCCAGGCATAAACAAAAAGCCCCTAATTCCAGAGACCTACCCAGACTTCAAGAGTCAACAGGGATTTCCAAGTTAACATTTCATTTTTGCCATCCCTTACTTTTCTAAACTCTCTTCTCAAGTATCCCTGAGATAGACTGATCTAAGACATATGGCCCTGGTGCTGCTGGGAGAAGCGTGGTGAGGGGCAGGTCCACAGAACAACTCACAGAACTGAGGCTGTGGGCCCAGAAGGATGCTGCAGGGCTGAGGGTGCAGGCTGGGAGGGTACAGGATAGCTGACAGAGCAGGTACAGGGCTGAGTGAGGCAACAGGGGGGCTGAGAACACCAGGCCAGAGAAGGCAACGGGATAAGAGGAACAGGGCCAAGGGACAAGGGGGCCTAAGTGGAGGGCCTGGCACAACGCTGAGGTTCAGCTAGGAGGAGGACAGGGTGGGGGTAGAGAACAGGGGTAAGAGTGGAGCAGCTAAGGAGTCGTGGGGTTCTGGGCTATCGCAGAGTAAATGAACACTGCCAGCAAGCAGGGAGGCGGCTGGACAGGAAGGACATCTCTGCAGACCACTCTCCCAACAAATCCCATTGAGTCAAATTCTAAGCCCACCAGCTTAGAGGTATGGAGTCACATAAAATCTCTCCCCATTTTCATTGCAGAGAGGGAAAAGTTCAGGCTTTGGATTCTGACAGATTTCGTTTTAAATAAACCTCAGCCCTCTCATCTACTAGCTACGGGGCCCTGAACCTCAGTTTCCTCAGTGATAAAATGGGGATGCCCACCTCACAGAACTGTTGGAAGCACCATGCACAGTTCCAGGCACAGAGTAAGTGTTCAGTAAACTGGCTCTCTCTCCCTTTTCCCTTCCACCCTAAATGAAGCCCAGCTGGTCCCATTTTGAGTATGTGTGTGGGAGTAGAAACAGGGGTGGGAGAGGACCTACGGTGCTGACTCATTAGGACAGAAGGCATGAGTCAGGGCTGTGTAACATCCAGGGATGGAACAGGGACACTCCTCCCCCCGCCCAATCCTCCTCATCCGGCTCCCTGGGGTCTTGGCTGGCAGTGGGTCCCATGTGGTCGGGGAAAGCAGGCTCCGTTAGTACCTTTCTCATCACATTTGGAGAGGAGTGCTGGATGGTGCTGTCCAATGGGGGGACACTGTGAGGGGTTTCGTCCCCAGATGCCTGGGGCAAATTAGCAGCAGTGTTCTTGTCAAGAGAGAGAGTTGGCTTTGGGACTTCTGATGTCGATGCCGGGGACTCATCTGTAGCCTGAAGAAGAAAAGAACGTGGGTGGGTCTCACTGCAGAGAGTAGCAGCAGCAGCACTAAGGGTTAATGTCGCCCTGCCCTCTCCATTGCCACCACCTACACACTGGGAACGGCTTAACATTTTTTCGGAAAGAAAGATACTCTTATCTAAACTCTTCCTAAGACTACATCCTAATGACAGTCTTAGGATAAAACCCAAACCAAGAATTCTGAACTAACTCTGTCATATTCACCTGAGCAATCCCAACAGTTACGACTTTCTTTTAGCTTGTGGTCCTCTATGAACCCTAGACCCTTCTCTGCCATTGTAAGGTTTATTCTATATCCCCTTAAAGGAATTGAGCCTCATAGGAAGACACTGAAGCATGATCTGGAGTTGTCAGTACTGAGCATAAATGTGAGGCCTTACATTTTGTAATAAAGTAAAAGTCTACAGAGCTGCTTTGAAGATATAAATGTGATTACAGATTTAAAGGCAACATCGCTACGGGAAAAGTGAGAAGAAACAGAGGGAAGGGGCTGGAACAGGAAGCTCTGGGGAAAACGCAAGAGTTAAGGATGAAGATGTAGAATGCAGCCAAGATCCCAGAGGTACGAACTGTATCTCCTCAGTTGGCTGTTGGCTGAGAAAAGAGAAGAGCAGCATTCATATCCCCCCAGGGAAAGAAGGAGGCCTCTTCTGTGGCATGAGGGCCAGCAGACTTGAATCCCAGTCTTGACTCTAGCACTCAGTGTGTTACGATCTCTAGGCAAACTCCTTGCCTTCTCTGACCTCCACTCCTGCACCTATAAATCCAGATGGTAATGCCTACCTAACCAATGCTGTTGATGGGATGAACATGTTGATGGGATATAGTGTATAGAAAACATAACTACCTAGTAGGCTTGAAATAAACTTTAAGTCTATAGCTGTGCAGTGTTACAAAGCTGCTGCTCATAGCATCTAATGCATACCTTCCCTCCACTCCTTAAGCTCTCCCTTCCTCCTGCCTGAGATTCGTAAGTTCCCAGCAAAGAATTGAGGAGATTACAAAGAAAAGAGCCTCCCTTCAGCTGTGGCACTGGCAGGGGTCTAGCACAGCCCAGAAGGTTCTAATCATGGACAAGGTTCCTAGGTCCCTGAGGAGGGCAGGGTTAAGCTAGGCCACGCTGAAGAGTAGTGAGCCCAGCTCTGTGCTGGGACTAGAGCGTCCCTGAAGTGGGAGGTGGAGCCCAGGGCCGTCCTGAAGGGGGATGGCTGTGCTCAGGCCACAGATGAACTGGTCCTGGGCCACCCTGGAACTGGGCAGGCTGTGTTCCCTGAGCAGTCCCAGGACAGGGAGAACGTGTGCCCGAGCCACCCTGAGGCGCACCTGTACAGTGTCCTCCTGGCTCTGGGACTGGACAGGTGCCGGCTGCCTCACGATGTAATTGATCTGCCCCACGATGGTTTGCTGAAGATGCTGGGGTGATTTGGTCTGACTCAGTTGCAGGCTGGGCTGCTGAGCTTGAAGGAGAAGCTCCAGGTCCTTCTGCATTTCCTCCAGCTCAAACTTGTGGTGCATTATGTCCACATTCTGGGAACAGGCGGGCCCAGGAGGGCTCTCATGCTGACCGGAAGCCAGGTGCTGAGATGGAGGGAGAGGTGGGGGTGGCTGTGGCTGGGGTGGAGGCGGTGGAGGCGGCGGAGGCGGCAGAGGCGGCAGCTGCTGCTGTGGCTGTTGCTGAAAGTGGCTGAGCTTCAGCTTCTGGTGGTGGCCGAACTGGACTTGGATAGAGGGTGTCTGCAAGGTAGGCTGGGCATGGGCTCCTTGCTGAACATCCTGCGGGGGCACGATGCACACCGGCTGGGAGGTCAGCTGATGCCCCAGCCGCTGGTGTGTGCCCTCCGGCTCCACAGCGGGCTGGGTCTCCAGCCAGGGCTGCAGCAGCTTTGGTGGATGAGGGTTGCAGGGCAGCTCTTTCTCCCTGGGCAGCAGGGTGGAGCACTGCAGGGACCCCAGCTGCTGGGGCACCATCTCAGAGGGCTGCCGAAAGCTGTGGGCTGGGTGTATGCTGGGTGGGGGTACCTGGCCTTTGAGAGAGGGCGAGGCTGGGGAGCAGTGGGAGCAGCACACGGACGAGGAACACAGTGCTGGAGACTGGAACTTGTGTGAGTGGTGGCTAAGAGCCTCTTGCTGAGCCACTGGGGACTGGTGGCTTTGATAAAAGGAGGATGGTCCCTGTAAGCCTCCATAAGCAGGAGTATCTGCCCGGGATAGCTGTCCACCTTCAGTAGTTATACAGCCTGCAAATTCAGAATAGAGAGTGTTTTCAAAGGTAATCTGCAGTGGTTCCCCACTTGCTACCTCGTGCTCCTGGGGCAAACGGACATCATTCAGCATACCTGTACCAGGTGCAGAGATTAAGAAATTCAACCCCTGATCTCTAAGGCTCAGTCTATAGACTCTGTGTGGACCAGCCTTGGGGGCCCTGGGACATTTGAGATACTGTTTTGCTTTTACCAGATGCTCAGTCCAGACTCCATCTATAACCCATTAGAGAAAGCATAGGCTCCCTCAAAGAGCACCCACTCTTTTTATTAACAGAATGGCACAACAGAGACTCAAACAAAACAAAAAAAATTCAACATTGGGAGTTGGGACCGGGGGTGCTGGAAAGCAGCAAAGTAAAGAGTGTCATCCCCAGGACAAACGAACAAGGCTTCAAATAGAGAGCTGGGGAACTGTGTGTTGGACAAATAGGGTGGCAGAGAGTGGGGGAGCTCCTCATCCATATCCTAACCGCCCCCAACCCTGCCATCCCCACCCCACACAAGGAAAGACTTGCCGAATGGCTCCATGACCTCTGGCAGTCTCAGTGAGTGCTTTCTCTTGGGCCTATGCTGACCTATCCAGTAAGTCAAGCAGAAGCTCTATATTCACTTTTAGCAATTATGTAAAAGCCCACAGGGTGGGCCCGGGCTCACCGAGGGAAGCCAGTTGCTTGGTCCAGAAGTTAGGCTCCCAGGTGAATCGGATACTCCAAGGGGAGCCAGGATCTGTGTTGCAATTTGTCTCCAGCAATCGCTGCATCTGAAACACAATCTGACAACAGCACCAAGGATCATTTCTTTGGGCATCTTGTGTCTGAATGACAACTCTCTCTCCCTCACTCTTTGGACCGGTTGAAGGGCTCGAAGCCACAGCTCTTTAGCCTCGAGTCCTCCGCCATATGCTCATTGCCTTGCTTTTCAGTATCTTCATATCCTTCTCCTGCCCCCTCACACACACACACCCCCACCCACCCTGTACCCCCCCATTGCCCACTGATCTCCTCCCTCCTACTGAGGCTTCTGGAACCCCTACATTCTTATTTCTTCCAGGCCTCAAATGATTTGTAATTCTCCCTCAGGATATCACTTGCCTGGCAGCCCTCTCAAGGGTGCTCCATTCATTCTACCATATCTCAATGTACAGGCCTATGGGGGCAGACGTTCTCTGAGCTCCCCACTGCTGTCCTTCCGCCCACATGTAAAACTCCCTTCCATCCTAACCAACTGCCCTCTTCCTCCCTCATCACTTTCATATGTTCACCAACTCTCCCATTGATCTAGGACTTTGGCAAGTGTCCAACTTATCCTGTCATCATCTAGTTAACTAATGTCCCAGTCAACATCTTGACCACTTACTTCTTTGATCTTTTTAATGTCAATCAACTTCACCTCTCTTTTCAGTTCAGTCACCCTTTACCTCATCTAGAACCATTCTACCTATGAGACCTTAAACTCCAATCACCTATTACCTGATCATAACTAGCTCTCACCCTTTTGGAACATGCTCTTCAACCTCACTGAACTCCCTAAGCCGGCTCCAATCCACAGGGCCCTCCCAGCTTTCCATCATTTTCCGTAACACCATCATTAGCGCCCTAATTCCCTCCCCACCACCAATGCCTAACCTTAGGTCAATCCAGCCATTCCAAAACCATGTGACCTGGGGTCACTTCAGCGATCAGTAACCTCAGAGGCACCCCTCAGTCCCTTTTTTTGTCACTTCCTTTCTTAGCTTCCTCTTCCAGTGTCTTTGGTGACTATTTAAAATCTTCAATTCTCTCTTCAATGCCACTTACCCAGTGCCTAACCCTCTTATTATCACCTTCAACTTCACAGAAGACAAAAGAGACCATAAAGGGCAAAGTCCCCCAAACTTGTATCCCCGCTGCCTCCAAACTTAACTACGTTATACTGATACCTTCTTGACCTCCCATCTCTGAGGAAATGAAAGGCTCTTATGTTTAAGGTTCCCAGCTCACTCTAGATCCCACTTCTTTCTATCTTCTCATGATGCTCACTCCATCATACAACTCCTCTCTTCAACTTCTTCTCCCAAATATGTGTGCACGTTAAAAAAAAAAAGCCTATCTCCCTCTTTTTTCACTCCTGTCTCTACTTCACCTCTCATCCTCAGTCCCCTCATTCTAGCTTTTAGCCCTCCTACTTTGCTGGAATTTCTTTCAAAAGATCACCAGGGACTTCCTGATTCCCAGGTCTCACGGCTTCTCTTCACTACTCATCCTCTGTCACCTGTGTGGCAATGATAACATTGACCATTTGGAACTTGAAACTCTGTTAATTTCTGTGTACCACACTCTCCTGTTTCTCCTCTGACCTTTGCATCTCACTTTCCTTCATTCATCCTCTTCCTCTCTCTAATGAAAATCATGGTATTTCCCTGGGTTCCAGGTTTGTTCTCTCTTCTTCACATATTCTTCCAAGGTGATATTACCGTTATCCCAGTGACTCCCACATCTCTATCCCCAACCCTGACTTTTCTTCTGACTTGCAGACCCGTCCATCAAAACAGACTTTAGACATCTCCTTTTAGATGCCCTACAAACACCTTAGATTCAACACATCCAAATACAAACCTCACCAACTTTTTTCAATATTCTTGCTCCTTCTCCTGAACATCACTCCTCCCCCAAGCCCAACACTTCGACATCATCCTCAACTTCTCCTTTCCCCTCAGCCCCCCATTTAAACCCAAATAACTTTGTATGGAATGTCCAACACACTGTTAATGTCCAGGATAGAGTCTGAACCCGTGACCCAAGACAAGTCACTACAGAATTTCCCAGCTGAGTTGCCTAGAGGAAGGCAGGGCCATTTCAGCACCTGGGTCCTTTGCACTGTGGGGTTTGGTAAAAAAATAAAATGTCATTAACTTACTAACTCAAAAGCAGTGATTGAGGAGTTGGAGTTCTTACCAGCTCTTTGCTGAAAAGGAAAGGGACGCTGGTTTTGCTGCAGACAGCCCAATTGATGAAATTCTGCACATGCTCAAACTGACGGTTGAGGACCATGATGCTCTGTAACTGCTGTTCCAGCTTCTGTTTTCTCTCATTAGTAATGCCCTGGGTATGGAGAGAGAAGACAGTCCATGATCCTGTTCCTGGACTGCAGGCCACCTGCTTAGGAAGTCTGCTGGCCTGTGCGTGTCAGTGTGAACACTGATGGAATCAGATGAGACTGCACGCCTGAGAGGAGGACAGCAGGACAGTGTTCTCATGGGCTGCTGAGGGATGGAAAAAAGGGAGGAAGAAGGAGTGGGTAGATTTTATGGTACACATATGGAATGAGTGATAAATAAATGAGAAAGTGAATGAATGTCTACATCTCTTGAGTATAACTTAGTGACGAAGGTGGGTTGTTACATGGCTCTCTTCCAAGGCTATAACCCCGAATAGTTCAGGAAGGCAGTTGGCCTGGAGCCATCACATGGATGGGAGTTTGAACTAATTTCCCAGCCCTTAAGGAGCCACCCTCCCCAAATTAGATTGGACATTTTAAGATATAGGAAGCAGAAGAGAGCTATGGAAACTTTACATCTAAATTCCAGCCTAAGTGGCTCTGAGCCCTGGGACTAGTTGAATATGTGCCTGGCTTCTGACCCAGGAAGGGCACAGAACCCATCCATCTGATCCATCTGTCCACATATACCTCCAGCTCTTCTATGAGCCCGTTGGCCTGCTTGTTCAGCTCATTCATCAGAACCATCTTGGCCATTTTGATCTGGTTTTCCACCTTCCTGTGCTGATGCTTCACCTCAAAAATCCTGTAAACAGGATGGAACATAGCATGGTGAGCCCTTCCCTCCTGTGAGGGCCTAGAGACAGCAAACATAAGAGACAACAATTTGGAGGCAGCCTGTTGAAAGCAGGGCCCAGCAGGCATCAAATATAAAGAAACAAGAACCTTGTTCCACCACCCCACCCTTTATAAAACCCAGCCCACTTAATCTAAGTGGACCAATGGCCCAAAGTTCAACCAGGTTTTCCCTAGGTAAACCTCAGCTCCACACCCAGCTCAACCCAGCAGCTCACCAGTTCACACAGCACTTGAGACATGACAGAGTAAAGAAGCATGGGTATAAGTTCATGTAATTTGTTGTCTTTAAAAGGAGGATGCTCCACTAAACAGTGCCATGCAGTAAAAAGAGCATGAGCAGAAACAGAGAGTGGACCAGTGGCTGCCAAGAAAGGGGGATGGTGGGGGAAATGGGGAGTGACTGCTAATGTGGGTTTCTTTTGGGGGTGATGAAAATGTTCTAAAAGTAGACGGTAATAATGGTTGCACAA